TAAGAGGGAAGAGCCTTAGTAAAAATGTCAGCAAGTTGAGTATGAGTGTTGACATGGAATGTTTTCAAACTACCATCTTGAAGCTTATCTCGAATTAGGTGGCAATCCAATTCTATGTGTTTCGTCCTTTCGTGAAACACAGGATTAGACGCTATATATAAAGCAGCTTGATTATCACAGTATAATGAACTTGGCTGAGGATGGTCGACTTGCATGGAGAATATACCAAAGCCAAGTGAGCTCGCAGCAGGTACTCGACATAGCTCTGTACTCCGCTTCAGCTGAGGAGCGGGATACGACAGATTGTTTCTTAGAACGCCAAGATACCAAGGACCAACCAAGAAGTATATAAAATCCTGTGACAGAGCGTCGAGTGTCCGGGCAAGAAGCCCCATCTGAGTCACAGTATGCCCTCAAAGTTAAGGGAGAAGAGATGGGAAAGAAAAGACCCTGGCCCGGGGAAGATTTAATGTATTTAAGAACCTTATGTGCAGCATGTAAATGAGATACAGTAGGAGAGGCCATGAATTGGCTAAGATTCTGGATGGCATAGCTTAAGTCCGGACGTGTGATTGTGAGATAAAGCAACCGGCCAATCAAACGGCGATAGGCACCAGGGTCAGGAAGTGGCTGACCTGAGTTTTTGTTTAACTTCAAATTTTGTTCCATAGGAAGTTTAGAAGGTGTAGCACCAAGAAAGCCAGAATCTGCAAGAACATCCAAAGCATATTTACGTTGACATATGACAATTCCACGCTGTGAACGAGCTACCTCAATGCCCAAGAAATATCGAAGGTCCCCAAGGGATTTATTGCGAAACTTAGCGCTGAGAAAATCTTGTAAACTAGCAATGGAAGCCAGGTCTGAACTAGCAACAATGATGTCGTCAATATAAACCAACAATGCTGTAAAAGAATGATCTGTGGTCAGTGTAAAGAGACTGTAATCTGCCTTGCATTGTTGAAAACCAAAATCGAGAAGGGCACTGGAAAAGGTGGAGTACCACTGACGAGAAGCCTGTTTCAAGCCGTAAAGACTCCTAAGTAGTTTACAAACTTGACCTGGATGTCCCTTGGAATAGCCAGGAGGTTTCTTCATGTAGACTTCCTCATCTAGACTACCATGAAGGAATGCATTCTGAACATCAAATTGTTTCAAATGCCAACCCCGTACTGCAGCAATAGCCAATAAACACCTTACAGTTACAAGTTTTGCCACAGGGGAGAATGTATCATGGAAGTCCACTCCCTCCTGTTGTGTGTACCCTTTAGCAACTAGGCGTGCCTTGTGATCCTCTAAGGTACCATCAGAATTATATTTAAGTTTGTAAACCCATTTACACCCAATGGCATGCTTATTAGGAGGAAGGTTGGTAAGGATCCAAGTATGATTTTTTTCAAGAGCAGAAAGTTCAGATTCCATCGCATCAAGCCAGAGAGGATCCTTAACTGCCTCACCATAGGTAGTTGGTTCAGTGTGAATTGAAATTGAAGTAGAGAAAGCATGAAATGTGGGTGATAATTTCTTATAAGATAAAAAATGAGTAAGGGAAGAAGGTTTACCTGAAGTGGAGAGCCTTAACTTGGGTGACGATGGAGGGGAGAGAGTTGAGCTTTCCTGCAAGGGTGATGAAGAGGCCAGTTGACAATGAAAATCTTTCAAGTATGTAGGGGCTGTACGAGTTCTGGTAGACTTTCGAAGAACGGGATGAGGTGAAGATGTTGGAGAATGAGAATCTGGAATCTGTGAACTGGAAGGTGCGAGTGAGGTGGATAGAGTAGGTGAATCAGGTGAGGCTGTTGGAGAGTGAGTATTTGGGAGATCAAGTGGGTCAAAAGGAGAAGGGGAAGATGAGGTTACTATCTCTGTAGGAGGAGTGGAGGAATAAATTGGAAAAGGTTGAGGTGGAGGATAATCTGCTGTTTGAGTAGCTGGAACTTGGAAGGGAAATAATGCTTCATGAAAAAGGACATCACGGGAAAAGAAAATAGTATCAGTGGCCAAGTCAAGGAGTTTATAACCTTTTACGCCAAAAGGATATCCCAGAAAAACTGATTTTCTACTTCTAGGGTCGAATTTCCGTCTGCCATTTGCTAGTGTTGATGCAAAAGCTAAGCAACCGAAGACACGTAAGTGAGAGTAAGAAGGTTTGTGGCCAAACAAAATTTCATAAGGAGTTCTATTTTGTAACAGGGGTGTAGGAATCCGGTTTATTAAATGCACAGTAGTCAATACACATTCATTCCAAAACCGCATAGGAATCCCAAATTGAAATCTAAGAGCTCGTGCGATTTGCAAAATGTGCTGATGTTTTCTTTCTACTAGGCCATTTTGTTGTGGTGTTTCAACGCAACTCTTTTGGTGAATAATTCCTTTGGTTGAGTAGAAGTCAGGGAGGGAGAACTCAAGGCCATTGTCACTACGTAAAACCTTGATCTTAGTGGTAAATTGTGTCTCAACTAAATTGGAAAAGGAAGCCAGACAGAATTTGGCATCTGATTTTCTCTTTAACATATATGTCCATGTACTTCTAGAAAAATCATCAACTATGGTTAAGAAATATCGTGTCCCATCATGAGCTTTGACTGCACAAGGTCCCCAAAGGTCCACATGTATTAAATTAAATAGTTGTAAGGTGTTATGTGTGCTGGTGGGAAAAGGGAGGCGATGTTGTTTTGCAAGAGGACAGATATGACAAACATGAGAGTCCTTTGATTGAATATTAGAAATTACAACTGGATCTTGAATAAGTTGAATTCTGGAATCAGAAATATGGCCTAAACGATAATGCCACAAATCAAACTCTCCAGGAGAATGTGTAACAGAAGCTGAAATCAAACTATTTTTATTGAAACAAACAGGAAGAGAGTGTTGAAGATCAGTTGGAGACACAGGGCTAGGCTGCAGGTGATATAAGCCATGCTCAACTTTACCCTTCCCAATCGTTGTCCAAGATGAAAGGCCCTGTATAAAACACATATCAGGTAAGAAAACAAGACAACAATGTAACTGGGAGGTAAGTTTTTGAATGGAGATCAGATTAAAAGTGAAAGAAGGAACACAAAGGACATCCTGTAAAATAATGGATTCAGTTATCTGTACAACTCCTATATGTGTGGCAGGAGACAGAGTCCCATTTGGCATCCTTACTGAGTAAGAAACTGGAGAAGTTAGGGAAGTAAAATAGGAGGTGTTACAGATCATATGATCTGTAGTACCAGTATCTATAATCCAAAGAGGTTGTGGTAGCACAGAATGTTGTGTGTTGTGAGTTAAGAGACAAAGTGATATACCAGACATGGATGGTGAAACATCAGGTGTGGAGGACATTTTCTGAACGTGATTAGCAGATGGTATAGCAGTAGAGGACCCCTTGGCTTTAAGCAATGTAAGCAACTCTTGATATTGGCCCTTGCTTAGTGAAAATGGGTTGGTATCTGCACCATCTTTGTCATTGTCATGGTGGATTGAAGTTTGATTGGCATAGGTTCCAGTTGGTTTCTCTTTACCATGAAGCTTATGGCCTGGGGGATAGCCATTAAGTTTGTAACATTTGTCAGCAACATGTCCCACCAATATGGCAGTAGGTGCATTTTGGTGCCTCAGCATTACCTGCCTTGAAACAAGAGTCAAAATTGTGACCTGTAATTTTGCAGTAAGTGCAATATTGTCTGTCTCTTTTAAAAACAGAGGAATTTATAACAGGTTTAGAGTGACCAGGAAATTTTCGTGCAGCCAGTGCAACAGATTCAACAGAAGGTGAAGGTGAATTCATTATCCGTTGTCTCTCCTGTTGCTGAATGTAGGAGAAGACCTTAGTTACAGATGGTAAGGGGTCGATTAACATGATCTGATCACGAACATTGGAATAGGACTCGTTCAATCCCATGAGGAACTGCATCACACAGTCGCGTTGATACCTTTCTATCATCAATTTTAGTTTGCCACAGGTACATTCAGGTAGGGGATTGTATACTGAGAGCTCATCCCACAAACTTTTAAGTTTACCATAGTAAACACTCACAGAGTCTTCTTCCAGAATCAGATTTGATAGAGTCTTCTTCAACTCATAAATTCGAGAACCATTCTGTTGAGAAAATCTCTCCCGTAAGTCCGTCCAGATGTCACTCGCATTATCCACAAAGGCCACACTAGATCTGAGTTGTTGGTTTATGGAATTGTAAATCCAGGACACAATCATGTCATTACAACGCTCCCATAGCTCCAAAAGGGGATCATCAAGAGTTGTTGGTTTCTTCAGAGTTCCATTGATAAACCCTAGTTTATTCTTAGCTCGCAATGCTCGCTGCATAGCTCGTGCCCAGGTTTCATAGTTTGCAGTGGTGAGCATTTCAATGACGAGGATAGTTCCTGGGTTGTATGAGGTTTCCAATCGATATGGATTGGAAGGATTCGCGAGGTTGGTGAAGAGATTGGTGGTGATGTTGCTTTCCTCTGTCATTGTGTTGTTATCTTCTGCCATTGCTCTGATACCATGTAAGAATTGGATAAGTTGGGGAAATTAGAATGGAAGAAGATGAAAAAATGCAGAAATGCTGAGTGAAGGTTTCAATATATTTCTTCTTATTAAAATGGTTCATAAACCGTGTAGCATATATATACAGCAATACTAACTACAATTGGTCATAACAGAATTAACACATCAGCAGAATAGCACATCAGCATCTTCTGGAATCTTCTTCGTGACTTGGTTAATTTTCGCATGCTCCAATAGTATTACAAGTCTTGTATAAGAAAGGCTACTCACCCAGTAACTTACTCACAAATTTCTACAGGTCAATGTATAGTCAAGATTAATGAATGGACTAGAAATTGTGTAATGGAAACCAGATTTGGCATAACAGATTCATACACAAGGTTTCGACATACGCCTATGTTGTTTCCCACATAATTATTTCTTCGATAAATCGGTCGTGAAAACATATGTTTCTTCAGAAATACTGGAGCATAAGTGCCTATGTAGACATTGGTTCAGTAAGTTAAAATTTGTATACCATAGTTTCTGTATATCCAAGCACCTTGAGTATGCCAGTCAACTGCAAGGGAGTGAAGAAAAAATGTTAAGAGACTATTGAAAGGGGAAGAGAGGAGAAATTTCGGGGAATCATAATTTTTTAAAAACATATATAATATACCTCTCCTTGCGACCAATCTGGTGCCGTATCACCGGATATATTTTTCATCATTCCAGGAGGACCACAAACCTGGAAAAGGAACAAAGTCCGTAAAAGATGCAGAAATAGACAGATTTATATAATCGGTCAGGGTCCATTTCCAAGGTTAACGAAAAATCAAATAACATGGAATAGTATAAGTCCCCGTTTGGGCTCCATTTTTAATTCCAAAACTCATTTTCAAATGCACATTTTCTCATAATAATTTCACACGTAAGCCAAAAACTTTTCGTTCTTTTCTAACCACACATTATCTAAAAACTCACTATTCCAAAACACATTTTCCTAGAAAAATGGGGGTCAAACAGCGGCTAAATGTCTTTTACTACTTGGCCATGCTAGTAATATAGAAAAGAGACTTGGAGCATTTTTAATCATTCAGTTAATTTGAATTAGCCATATATGATTTAAGACTCCCAACTTTTTTCCTTTTTTCCTTTTTTTCCTTTCTACCGCACTCTAGTTCAAGTCAATGATTTCCCCCACCAACCTCACTAGTGAAACCAAGACAGTTGGAAAGATTCGAGTTCCTATGCTTTTAATGTTTGGAAACGACGATGTGTTCATGTTATCAACATTCACATAATCTGGAAAAGATAAATAACGCACAGCAACATGATTTTGCAAATTTAGAGAATGTCCCAGCGCACATAAAGTTTTCACCGAGATTAGAATCTAATCAATGATATAATAAGTAGAGGTGGAACTAATCGAGGATACATTTAAGCGAATGATGACTATGGTGGTAGGAGTATGTATGCCTAAAGAAGGTCTCGTTCAGAAGAGCAATGCAATCCAGTAGAATAAGTTAAAAGAGAAAGAAAGTATACTAAAATCAAAATGGCTTGACATCATGACTTGGTTACAAAAGATTTGATTACGAGATCTTTTCATAGATTTAGTGATGGGTTTGACAGAGTAGCAAACCAAATTCACACAAGTGATCACTAATTTATTGGGAATAGAGTTTGGTTTTTTTTTTTTGTTGTTGTTTTGGTAGTCACTATATTACCATTGCAGTTTTTGGCCACTCAACTAGATTTTAAAATTATCATTTTGCAGTTCACCTAGCAGGCAGATCTAATTTGACTCTGATATTTTGATTACTTAGTTTGTAGATGAGAATCCATGCATAGCAGAGAAAACTTACAAGAATAAGTGTATCGTCACCAGGGCCAGGCAATCCTTTCTTTACCATGTCATTAGCTATGTAACCCGTACCTCCGTGCCAATCTTTTGTTGGATTATCAACAGTGTAGAATACCTAGGAATTCTCGCATAGAAAGGATATTCCAACGCAAAAGATTAAAAAAAAATTCAAAACATATAGTAGTACTTATGCAATGATTCTGGTCTGGAAGCACCTTCAAGTTCAGGTGCTTAGCTGCAACTACATCTAGCTTCTTTTGAGAAGTATGTCATCAGGAGATACATTAGCATACAGCAATGTAACCTATAGTGTAAAAATTAATCAATAATATGATATAAAAGCATGCTTATGATATTGAAACACGGACCACATTGTGAGGCTGAATAATCTCAAGTCTTAAACATGAGAAAATATAAATTAAATTATTAGTCTTACCTGGGTATTATCATCAGGGTTTTTAAGGATAGCATCAATTATCTGAAGCATCGGACTGATGCCAGAGCCTCCTGCAATCTGAATATAAAATTTTAAGTTTAAATTCAAGAAATTGATTAAAACTGCATACTTCATTATAACAATCTGAAAGCATTATGATCATATTCACCAATTACCGCATGCTATAAATTAAATCATAGAATGTGACGTTACTGACGTATCATTTGTATGAACTCAGTTATACTGAAGGTGGATAATTTAGACCTGGGGATGTGCTTCAAAAGCTTACACGACAAGCTGGAGTAGTTGGTTCAAGAAAATCAAATAGAAGTACATAAAGTTTAAGATTTCATATTATCGTGCGAGAACAAAGAAACTCTTATCAGCATATGAGACTGTAGCTTGAAGATAAAAAAGAAAGTTCAAGGATCACATGGATTTTGTGGGTAAGCCCCCGTTTGGTGCACATTTTGAAAGTAAGAATGCATTTTTACTGTTGATGTGATGGGGAATATGTGGTTGAAAATGAAAGAAAAGTTATTGATGTGATGGAAAATATTATTTTATTGAAGAATGTGTGGTTGAAAATGAGTAGAAGAATGAGAATGAAAAAAATAATGTGGGTCAAACATGGGCTTAATCACAGGTTTAGCATAAACATAGGTCACAAGTGCACGTCTAGGAGAAATTATACCTTGGTGAAATTATGGGTCTGTTTGGTACACATTAAAATGAGAGAATGTATTTTTTTGAAGTGATGTGATGGAGAATATGTGGTTGAAAATGAAAGAAAAGTTATTGATGTGATGAAAAATATTATTTTATTGAAAAATGTATGGTTGAAAATGAGTAGAATAATGAGAATGAAAAAAATAATGTGAATCAAACACGGTCTAAGTAACAGACGGACTTAATACCATGTGAGCAAGTGTAGAATGATAAATCCCAAACTCTTTAAACTTGGACATAAATACCCACCGTCAAACTGCAAAGTACTCATGATAACTTCTGCTTATTTGAGTTCGAATTGAGACACTAAGTGAAATCGATCCAAATTCAAATACTCAGATACTGCATGCAGCATGCCATGTGTTTTTGACATACACATATGATTTTCTTTTGCCAAGGCTATCAACTTTTCACATCTTATTCCAGTATTTACATTTTCAGAGCAAGGTTCTGAAATGACGTGGTAATGATCCAAATTCAAATTCTCGGACACTGTATGCAGCATGCCATGTGATTTTGACACACGTGATGGTTTTCTTTTGCCAAGGCTATCGACTTTTCACATCTTATTCCAGTATTTACATTTTCAGAGCAAGGTTCTGAAATGACATGGTAATGATCCAAATTCAATTTGTTTTTTCTTTTATCATTTGTATCTTGACTCCCAATTATACCGTGGTCAGCAGTAAATTTTCAAAATCGTGATCTTACCATGCCAATATGTTTTTTCATATTAGGATTGTATCTGAGCTTTTCAATAGGCCTGTAAGAAAACAGGAAAAGGAACCCGTAATGGTATGATTAAATCTAAAATGGTTCTTGCCAGACAGTCAATCTTATACAACTTTCCCTTTCACTTCTACGAAATCCCCTGGTTTTAAGCTAGCAAAATGCTGACTCATTTTACCTTCTGGATACACCTGTAAAGTTTTCAATGCATTTAAGATATGACCATAAATAAAAATCTTTATCTATGAAGAGAATAGCATACAATTAAACAAAGATTACCAAATATAAAAGCAAAATAAATAGCCAACCCATACCTTAATCAATAAATCGAAGTATCCCTTAGCATCTGGATCTGTAGGTGTATAGCTGAAAAGAACAAGTTCCTGAATATTATTGATTTGGCATATTAATAAATCATCTCTCAAAACCTGGCATTCTATATAACTTCAACTCAACAGGTCAACGTGTTTTATTTTTGATGAAGTGCATAAGGAGTTAGAATTTATGATCAAGTGGGATCGCAAGGCAAAATAATGATTTCATGATAAGTTTGGATTTGTCCCTTTTTGGCGAATTAACAGTCTAATTTGAGTGGAAACGGGCCAAGGATCACAACTCATCGCCTTTGGCCATGACGTAAGTCGGGTTTCGGACAGATTCCATCATTTAAGCTCTCGATTACGCGTTTTTACTGTTTATGATAATTTTTATTTTGGTAATATCTCATTCAATAAGATTCGGATTTTGATTCCATTTGTTGGATGACGATCTTGAATATTAGGAGTTTCCATTTAAGTTAAAATCTTGAATTTTTCCATTTATGGAAAAATATCTTTTTTTTTTATTATTTATTTTTTGAAATTAGTTAGGGTTTTACTATTTAAATCATTGTAAGCCCTTTGAGGCAGACATTATTGAATTGAATAAGAATTTTCATGAGTTTATCTCATATTTGTGAGGAGGTTGTTCATCTGTTTTATAATCTTCCGCTACGTCACATGCTCTTTTGAAGTAGTTAGTATTTTTCGAGACATGTTCTATTTCGAGAGCACGATAAAATATTATTATTAATATCATTTTGTTTGTTTGAAAACTGTTGCTTCTTCAAAAACAATTGGTCATTAAAATATTGAAAGTGTAATTCATGCTCTTGAGGAGTGAATAATATTCTCCAGAAATATTAATTATGATGTTATACTACTTCAGGAGCAACTACTAGTTAAGAATGAATTCAATAATTGATATTTTATTACTAAACATAAAAAACGATAATGAAATATTAAATTGCACACCACAATGACAATATTAATTAATCTATAAACATACGTAAAATATTAGCTTGAATTTATTAATGCAAATACACACGTAAAATCAAATGTGATATTATCATTCATTATAACTAGACATACAAACGGTATGTGTACAAACGTAAAACACGATGTGTACACAGTAGTTTCTTCATCTGACATACACACAAATTGTAAGTCTCTTCATCTAATGATACATACAATTGATTGCTTCTAACTGGGCAAAAACAAAAAGTTTGGCAGAAATAAATTTTATCAAACAATCAAGCAGCCTCGTTATGATGCATACATGTATAAAAAAATTTGCATGTCACCAAATTGATTTTGGTACACTTGACAGATGATTATGCTTATATAAATAATTATCTTCTCACTTTGATTTTGAGAAAATCATGTTGATGACATATTATAAAATAGAGAGAAAANGATCTCACCAACTTACATCACAACATCAAAATCACACATCTAATTATTTATCAATTACATAAACATTACATCATTAATTATTTAATTAACCAAAAAAATTACATCTTTATTAATAACAAATTAATTCTTAAACAAAACTATTAAATATAAACTACGCAAACGTGCATTGCACGTAGTATATATATAAGTAAAAAAAAACAAGAGCATGCGAAAATATGATTCTGAGAACTTACGGACGAATAACATATTTGGGTTTTCCTTCAGGATTTTGTCCTGCTGGTGCCCTTCAATAAAAACAAGTATTTAGGAGTCACTTATTACAGACATAGTCAAGTAGTTTCTGTAGCCAAAAAATGCTCTAGGAAAGCAAGTTTAAAGAAAAATTCTTTGAAACTGTGCAGGATTCTTAGACAATATTCTACAGCTGAAATTCTCATGAGCGGCACCTATTTAGAATATTATGAATTAGTTTTTTCCTCAAAATTTTCAAGTAAACTCAGGCATTTTTGCAATCTCAACGTAAAGCCCCAGTTTGAGCCACATTCTCTTAAAACTCATTTTTCCCAAACTCATTTTAAACAATACATTTTCTCAATAAAATAATTTTACTCGTAAAACCAAAAATTTTTCTACCTTTTTAACCACATATTATCAAAACAAATTACTACTACAAAATTCATTTCCCAAAAAATGGGACTCAAACAGAGCCAAAATCAAGTTATATCTAGAAGATACTTCCTTTAGTGATAAGTGTGTTTCACAAACTCATTCAAGCTTATAAACTAGATAAATAATTGCTAATTCAACGGGTTTCTACTTAATTTAGTGTAAATATGATCATTGTAGGTTTTACCCTGATTTGAAGGCATTTGGAGCAAAAATGAAGGTTTTTGAGCTAATTTGGAGTAGATTCAGAACAACTGAAGACTAACCAGATTGCATATGATTGAATGAGGCATTAAGAGAGCAATAGGAAGAAAGTTGCAAGTTTCAAGAATGAAATTCAACTTATCGAAAGTTTGGGGAATAAATTGCACACTTTTGGAACTTGCGGAGGACCAATTTTGAAGAATTAAGGAGGCTCGGGGATCAATGGGGGAAGTTTTTGGAATTTTCGGGATCAATATTGAAGATTTGGATAGAAAAGGACCAAAAGCCGAATGAAAAAGTTTAAATAAAGACAAAAACGCAACATTTAGAAAAGTGAGTTGCTGGACGGTTGTATTATTTGCATGCTGATATAATGAGTTCAGAACGGATGCTTAATCAACATGAATTTGCTGGCATTAATTCCAGTCTCCAGTTCCTAGAAGGAATACGTTTGACCGACTGCTTTTGACAATGCTTCAATTGCTCAACAATCGAGTAATTGAGCAGCAAAACTTCCAAGCTCCTGCCTCAGTGATAGTGTAGTTTCTATACTTATTCGAGACCCTAAATTATAATATTTTATTGTCTTTCGGATAATATTCTACCTAATTTATGTTATATGATATTTTGTAAGTAAAACTTTATATTCAATGAAAAATTGGAGAAAATAATGTAATAGTGGCGAAAAATGACAAAATTCAAAAATGAAACCTTGGAGGGAAATAATACATTAAATGAGTTGAAATTAAATGGGCTTCAATGAGCTTATATTGAAAATTTTAATTGGACCTCAATGTAGCTGAAATATATATACACACACACACCATGGTATAAAAAGGCGATTGAAATCAGGGTGAAGATCAAATGATTCTGAAGGATGTTCCATCCGATGATGAATGGATTGCAAATCACGATATTGGAGCTCCATCAAACACATGCGATATAAATGATGACCACCCGAGTCTAAATTTTATGATTAAAAGTTCTACGCGTACACAAAATCAACCTATTAGGGAAAAAAATTCACGAAAAGGTATTCATATTTTTATAATTCAAATTTCTTTTTTTTTTTTATGAAATTATATTAACACACACATTGTTTTTTATTGAATTTACAGGAAAGGAGAAGGTCACATTGCAATTGGTGGATGAGGAAGATGATTTTGTAGAAATTGAGAATAGCGAAGAGGAAGATGATGGAGAAATTAGATATGATGATGATTTCGTTAACAATGCTAGTAATAATGGTGATAGCTCAGACTTTTAGGCTTTTTTTAGTTTAAGCTGCTTCTTTTCTCCATTGCAAATGGAGTGATTGCTAACTTTTGTAATACTTTTTTTTAAACATCTTCTTTATTTAGATGGATTATATCTCTATATGCTAATGACTATATATTATATTTACTATATGCTCAAACTTTGATTTTTTGTATTATTTTATAATTCTTTCACTTGGATTTTTTATTTTTTGTGAGGCTTAAGCCTCAAACCGCCTCGAGGCTTACGCCTCGCCTCATAAAGAAAAAACGCATCAGTACTTAGTTCTGCCTTTTTAAACCTTGATACACACACAAAAATGCACAAAGAAAAAAGAGAAAAAAAGAAAAAAGAGGGCGGCTGAAGCGAGAGAAGGGAGGAGGAAAAAAATGCTGCTGAAAAAGGAGAAAAGAAAACGCACAGGGTAAAAAAAAGGGAAAATTCAAAGAAGGCGGGAAAAGAAAAAAAAATACATATGCAGCAGGAAGAAAAGTGACAGAAAAGAAGAGAGAGAAAAAGGAGAGGAAGAAAATAGAGAGAAGGAAAAAAAAAGGAGACAGCATATACGAGCAGTTTCAAATTTCGTCAATTTTTAGTAATGTCATTTCACTTTTGCGTGTTTTTATTTTTGAAGTATGAGTAACTAATTTTCATATTAGGGAAAACAATGTAGTCGACTTCTGATTCTTTATTTTTCTATTCAAGATTTCTATGATTTTTTCTTATATGTGTGGTTTTACTATGAGTTTAATACATTGAATTACTTGATCACTAGTTTCATGATTATGTGAGTATCTTACGAATCGAAAGGTGAGTTTGAGATTTAGATCATATAGTAAAATTCGGTAAATTAGTATAACGTGTACAGATACATATACTAATTATTACGGTCATAATATGAATTTTTAGAACTAGTGTTTCGTTTAACTAAAGTTGATTCACATAGAGAGATGAAATTGAATTAGTTAAATAGGTTCAATGAGAACTCGAGAATGGTAAATTGAATACAATAGAAAAATTTGATTGAACACTATATTAGGTTATGAATCTTGAATTAAGAATTAAGAAGATCAATAGATGAAATTTTTATGCCCTAATCACATATTTGAATCTTCAATAATCTGTTGTTTGTAATCTTTTTATATTTTCAATTAGTTAAAAATAGTTTGAAAAAATAATCATAACCATCATAATTATTTACTTGCTTTTATCAAATAGGAGTTAGAAAATTTTGATTAAGTTCTGAAGTATATTCTTCGTGGGAACGATATCCGAACTCAAATGTCCACTATACTGCTTGTTACAATATCGTACACTTACGATATAAAAAACGCAACACTCAGAAACTGAAGAAGTCAAAATTCATCTTCTAATTCCCTATTCAGATATTCCCATATTCCCAACTGATACTCCTTCAATGAAGGAATGTGAGCTTTCAAGTTTCAACCAACTGTTGTTGCACAAGGCCCTCAAAACGTGAAATTCAGAGTGCAAGAATACTCTAATTTAGTTGATGTGGTAACAATATGAAGTTGGAATTTGGCAGATTTTGATTTAATATTCGGCATAGAAAGCTTTTTTAAATCACATATCTCAATTGGTGCAAAACTCTTCTTTGTTGGGGTTAAATTGAAAAGGCATCGAAGAATTTGATGGGTGGAACATCACACATTATACTACTATTTGAACAAGATTGGCAGTACTAGTCACTTGTACTTTGTGTGGTCTAAATACCAATGACAACTCCACCTACAATTCAGGCGATTGGTGCAAGATAACATGTCGTTGAAGGAATACAAACAAAGTTCTATAAATTGAAAATGTGATGATTTCTACATACTGAAAAAGATTAATCCACAATTATTATTTGGCTGGCTGCATACACTTTAGCATGGAAGAGGCTGTTCAAGTTGCACTGCAGATGAAGGACAAGTTGAAAAGGAAGACTCCTATGAGACCTTCAATGGAGAACTTATAACAGAATAGAACTTCAGTGGACGTAGATCCAGGTAAGTCTATTGAGAAACCACAAGAGTTCTTAGGTTCTAGCAAAACTGCTAAGCACCGTCTTTGTGAACCGTGTTTATTTGGCTCTCAAACCTTTCTTAGCAACCATATTCAGTCCCAACCTTTCTTCCTAACCTTTTTAGCCATCAATATTAAGGTCAAATCCACCGCAAATCATAACCTTGTCGAGGCTTGTAGAACATAATCATACTTGAGATTCTCAAGTGTAGCGAATGTACCTTGTAATAATAATGCAGGATGCAACATCAAGGCCTAACTTCGCAGCAGGATCAAATGAAAACCTGGAATGTCAGGGAAAAAAATGATCAAATAAATTTACAATACGATAGAGCATGCATCAACATTTGTTAAAATATAGCAATTGGTTAAGTATCAAGATCCTGAACCTCGATTTCACAAATTTCAGTTAACAAGGTCCTACAGAATACAGTAAGAATCTCAGATGTTACATGCTCAATAGATCACATCGAGTTCAAGGTATGACGTTACTGGAAGGATGCACAACAAACACAGTTGACAAGAGAAACTGGAAGAATTTTTTTCCATTGTCACTAGAATGGTTCGAGAGAATAAAGTAGGCAAAAGAAACTCCATTAATTGCCTTGACAGTTCAGCCAAACAAGAACTAGATGTACTATGTTAATAATGAAACATAAATGCATATAGACCACAAAATTTGAAGCATCCCCTTTCTACAAGTTACAAATTAAGAAATCTTCTTTGCCAAAAAAGCCACTACATCCCCTACAAATTACCATGTCTCAGGATATTTCTACTATCAAGATTGCTCAAAATAATATATGTAATGTCATTACTGCTCAAATTATTGGCCTTCAAACCAAGAAACTAGACCTGCCTTCTTACTAGAACGTTTACTCTCATCCAGCATGATCACAGCTCCAGACTTCCTTGTTCACATAGTTAAGATACAAACTCATGTAACTTATGGCATATTTATACAAATAAAATGACATGTGCCTTGTCTTTATCTTGTCTATCATCATACAGTTTGAAGAACCATAAGGTATTTGACAAATAGAAAGCATAATAAACTAACCTGAATAACTGAGAATTGTGGCTGACCTGTGCCTTGTCTTGCAGTTTGAACTCAAACCATTTATTAGGATTTAGTGCTGAAAATAAAGAAGAGTAACAATAACATTCTCAAAAAATTACATCAAACAATTTATGGCTTTCAGCTACAAGCTTAACATACCAGCGACAAAAAGTTTCTAATTACATGAATTTATTTTGCAAAATTACACTAGTGTCTGTGAGTGCAATGGCTCGTAAGATTTAGGCTGGACTAGAGAAGAAACCTTCCTAAATTAGCATATTATGACTGAGTTCAACAAAATAATTGAAAGCCAAAAAGTTCGAGTGAATTCTACAGATATACAAAATTAATTCTAAAGGTCATATTCACAACTTGATTTTTGATCTTCCCTATTTGTCCATGGATGTAAAGGTGAAAAGGTGAACTTCTAGCTATTCTTTGGCTCCATAAGCCTCTTCCTGAATTCAAAAGCTTGATGTTTCTGAACTACTTGCAGTAAGGCATAGTTTTAAAAAACTATTCGAAGCTTACGCTTCAAATCCCGCCTCAAGTGAGGCTAGAAAGCTTCAAAACCCCCACCATGAAGGCCATTTGTGAGGCTTACACCTCATTTAACAGAGGCTTATGCCTCAAACCCATTAAGGCATTCGCTCATTTGCCAAGCATTTTTCAAACATTTCATTACTGGTCTTAACCTTTCGAGTTATTTCTTTATAAGCTAAAATGTTTTTCACATTCTTTTATTTTCTTTTTTCTCCCCAAAGAAGGAAAATGGGAAGAAGAATACACCATTGCAATTGAAGGATGATGACCAATAAAACGAAACTTATAAAGAAGATTATGATCATTTTAGTGGATGAAATAAGAAAATTTTAATAGTCGCAATTTTGATTTGAGAACTTATTATCTTCTATTTTATGTTTGTAGCAAGTTAGACTTTTAGTTTTGTTAATTAGCTTTATTATGGGTTTTTTGAAAGGGTTCATGGCATATTACGATCATATTTTTGTATTTTTATATTCTTTTGAATTCTTTTATTGTTCTATCTTGAGGTTTACGCCTCAAAGCGCGTCAAGACTTACACCGCGCCTCAAGACTTACATCTCGCCTTATGGAGATAAAATGTGTCGGTACAACATTGCAGTCGTGTTTAGAGAATCAACTTGTCCATATTCTTAACGTATGGTTTGCCCCTAGTTGATCCCTATTATATATAAACTCATTTTTCTTCAAACTCATATTTAACCACACATTCTCTCAATAAAATAATAGCACGTAAACCCAAAACTTTTCTATATTTTTTTAACTATCCATTCTTCAAAAAGTCACTATCTACATAAAAATGGAGCTCGAACACACCCTTTGTGGTCTTCAAACTGCACATCTCGAGGGATGATCTCCTTACTCCACAACCTTCAACGTGATAAAGAGTTACGCAAGCCTATGTTTGCTAGTGTAGATATCTTCATTCTTATAAGTTGCTAATCAAATGCATTTGTATAAAGGGAAGTAGTTGCTTCAGCCTATAAAGCCCAGTTGTTGTACAAGTACTGTTACAGCAGTGTAATTGACATAGATGTGGATTTAATGACGACAATAAATAAATGAGCCTGTAACCATGATAATTCATTAAGAATTATAAAAAGGAGAGAGAAACCCACCAACTTTTGGAGAAGCATCTTCATTGAGTTGATCTAAATAAACCTGAATTGAAAACAATACAACAAATGAACAAAATTAGCAACTTGAAAAGTATCAAGCAATTACAAAAAACTCACATTTCAACGTTGTATAAGAAAAACACAAAGTATCTTATGACGAGGGCAAATAACATTAATACACAAACCAAAGTAATTTCTAAGACAAGTATCGTATGATGTTCTCTGTTGTACGAACACTTCAACTGGTATCATGACACTCTTCAAACACATTACCAGGGTCATGACTCATTTTTTTTTTATTTCTATATGTTTAACTCAAAGTTATTATTAAATAACAAATAGGCCTAATGAAGAATTTTAAAAAATTAAATCAATGTATTGACAAAGTATCATGTCAGTACTTTTTGAAAAATCGCATGTCAGGCATTATAGGTGTTGTTCATTAAAAATTTACTTCGAACTCCAATTATTAGTTGAATTTGAAATAAAGTAGACATTAAAAATGAAGGCTACTTTTGAAAACAAATTAACTTGTACCCTTCCACATTTAAATTACAGAATAATTATCTGATTATATTTGTCATTTCCTGTTATATTAATAACTTATCCGACCATAGTGTAGCTTGTACTTCACATATGCAAAGGAAAAGATGTCACATGCTGTTTCCCGTGTTACTCCATAGCATTGCCCCTCTCTCATACTCCTGAGTTTCATTCCACAGTCAACACTGTTGTTTTTTCCCCCAGTGCATCTTAAGCCCTTAACATCATCGAGGATATCAAATCCAGAAAACAATATACAGAAAACTAGATTCAGTTCCATGAGCAACATCAAATGCTATTTTCATCGGATTTCGGATGACTGATTATCGAAGGACCAATTCAATTTTACATCACAGTACACACTCGACACAAATTTCACAGTATCTCATCTTAAATTGTTCGCATTGGACAGAGAAAAATTCATAGAACTAAAATAATAAAAATTTTGTCATGGTTTTCATTGGGGGTTTATGGGAACCTGATCCCACATCGGATGTATGGGCTGAAAATGTGGGGTTTATAACCCCTTGGGCACCCTCCCCTTAATAGCTAGCTTTTGAGAGTGAGTTCTACCCAATGGATTATGACATTGGTATCAAAGCAGGCACCAAGTCTTCTCGTCTCGGTTACCACTTAGGGTGTATGGGCACCTGCTCGACGTGGACGCTGAGTCGGAAGCGTGGTGGTTTGTCATGGTTTCCACTGGGGGTTTATGGGAACTTGATCCCACATCGGATGTATGGGCTGAAATGTGGGGTTTACAACCCTTTGGACACCCTCCCCTTAACGCTAACTTTTGAGGGTGAGTTCTACCCAAAGTGTTAAGACAATTTCAAGCTTAAAAAATACAGAAATCCAAATAAAAGCATCAAAAAAATTAAAGCTTAAAAAAATACAAAAAATATAGACAACAGCATTAAAACAAAAACGGAAATAATATCATATTCAAAACCACAATTTTTACAGTCCACATTATTAGATAGACATGAAAGCAGATTGAGAAATTACCAAACTTAGCGACGAAAAGTAGTAATAATACGAGAAGCCCCCAGAAATCGCAGTAAGAGTGTTATGGTTGGACTTCAACCACAACTCCAATTCCAACAATTCAATAATATGAAACCAGAAATTGAAAAACAAGAACTACGGCACAATATATTAATTGTAATAATAGAATTCCATTACAATAATTAACTGAGAATAGAAGAAGATGAAGAAGACGAGGGAGAATTAGAGATAGAATCAGAGAGAAGAACAGAAGAGCAGAAGAAGATCGAAGAAGGAGGAAGAGAAGACGGGGGAGGGGTTTGGCAACAAGCCGATTCATCCAATTCACGATTTCCATTCTTCTAGTTTCAACCCTATATGAAACAAAACCGGGCTTTAGGCTAGCTCACCTATTACAAGCCCATTAGATAATAAATGTAAATGGCCCAAGGTGGGCTAGCCCAAAGCCCAGTTTTGTTTCATATACGGTTGAAGCTGGAAGAATGGAAATCGTGAATTGGAGTAATCGGCTTGTTGCCAAACCCCTCCCGTCTTCTCCTCCTCCTCCTTCTTCGGTCTTGTTCTCCTCTTCTTCTGCTCTTCTCTCTGATTCTATATCTAATTCTCCCTCTTGTCTTCTTCATCTTCTTCTATTCTCAGTCAATTATTGTAATGGAACTCTATTGTTACAATTAATATATTGTGCCTTAATTCTTGTTTTTCAATTTCTAGTTTCATATTATTGAATTGTTGGAATTGGGGTTGTGGTTGAAGTCCAATCATAACAAGTGCAACGACCCGACCTCGCGCCGTCATTATCTTACGTATTGTCCGATTCGGGAGAGCCTAGGTCCATCTTACCCTTCACGCTTTTTGACGCGTCACCCAGAATTCGAACCCAAGACCTCCATCATATGGGAGACTTAAGTTAAATCCTGGTACCAATTGAGCAAGAAAGCGTCCCCCAGGATTCGAACCCAAGACCGCCATCATATGGGAGACTTAAGTAGGATTTAACTTAAGTCTCACATATGATGGAGGTC